AACACAATAAATCCATTGATCATGGTGCTTGCTACAGTGCCGAAATATCGGAGGCTCGTAAATAAAAAGGTAGTATCCCGTAGACTGTTCTAATGTTAGTGACCATGAAAGCTTACAACAATATTATGACTATTATGTTTTTACGTTATTTATTTTAACTGTACGAATACATACGTATATTATGTGCGAAAAAAGATTCAACGCTTTACGTCTTATTCAGGATTAGTCGAGCCCAAAAATATGAAAGAATCTTCTCTATATTAGTATAATTATGTATACTAAATGTTTGTATAGGTATCCGGCAGTTGCAGATACATCTAGTTCATCATGATCATTTCAGCCATAGGACGTCCACTGTTGAACATAGGCCTCCCCAATGATTTTCATATTGCCCGGTTGGTAGCGCCCTGCATACAGCGTCTTCCTACTACCTTTATGAGGTCGTCGGTCTATCTTGTGGGTGGCCACATCTATTTGGCACAGTGAAATAATTCTAAAAGTTTATTTGAAATGCTATAAAATTACAATATTATGTACTCCTGAACATAAAAAGGTTTCCACTGTATGATATCAATTCCATAGATCCTATTTCCATTACTTTTCCATTAATAAGACTTGGTTTTACTACGTTTTCCTATTTGAACGTAATTTACCTTTTTTCTCTCATACTAGCGAATGTATTGAATTCTCTTGGCCTGATTAGAGATCCAATCACGAGATACTAGGTACAGTCAGCAACAAATACTTCGTGACACCCAAAGTGGCCAAAAAATTGACAACACAAACTTATTTCAATTGCAACAAAGACGTATTGCGAACTTTTTTAACGATTTATTCTGTCTTTATTCTAACTTACCTAGACAGTTAAAACACCAGTACGGCTAGCACGAAAATCTTTCCGAGTTGGATTCGTTTGCGTATTCGAATCGCCATCAAAAGATTTAGTACAAAAACTACAACAGTGCCCTTGTGAACGTATCGTAAAGTGAACTTATATGAGAAATGGTGGCACGAAACTTATTTTGAGAATCAAAATTGTCACGTTATCTTTTAATTCGAAGGTTGAGTATCTAATTTTGTCGAATACGCAAACGATTCGAATACGAAAGTTCTTCATGCTAGAGGTACTGGTCACTTGATTTTTGGCATATTTACCACAGAATACAATCCTTACATTTTCGAAAAATCCTACTTATCTAGGTTTCATATTAAAATTCCTATATATGGCTATGTATAAATGCAGGACAATAGAAACCTGAACTTTTATTGAACTTCAGTTATAAATAAAAAATCAAATACACTGAAAGCTGCTGACCTTATTATAGATTTAATCAAGTGATACTAGACACCGCTCAGCCGAGAGCTTTCGAACGCACATAGCGAGTGTGTTTGCAGAACTTTGTGTATTGGAAAAGCTAATAGAAATGATGATCTGGGGAAAATAATAACTCTAAAGGATGAAGCACACTTATTTACCCGGAAAGGGATCGTAACCGTATCAACTCGAGGCGGTCAGTATTCTTTGAATGAAACTTCATACTGCAACGCACACTTATCCGCGTAACGCCTCGCTTCGCTGTTGACAGCGCGCCTAATGCGATGACAACTCGCGAAACGGTGTTTGATCCCTTTCCGAGTTGATAAGTCTGCTTCGACCTTTAAGGGGAAAATAATATTATTTTTATTATAACTCCGTGCAGTTTTCACATGGCCAGTGTCATGTAAAATGAGTAATTAAGTGGCTACTAATCTATAAACCTAATCCATAAACATAGATGATAGAAACTAAACGAATCGCCTCTGTGGTCTAGTGGTAAGACCAGCTACTCTAGACACAGAAATCTTGGTTTAATTCCCAAAAGGAGGCGGATTTTTGTTAGTTTTTTTATTCGGTGATAAAGCCTGGTCCGTAAGCACGTAGAATCCCGTCCAATGACCCCAAGCTACCCATCCTTATCGCTCGCGCGTAATTATGTTGCTGTCGCGACTGTGCGACGCGCGCCCACAGTGAGTGTGCGAGCGCGACAGCACAGCAACATAATTACGTGCGAGCAGCGAGCGTCAAGGATGGGCAGCTTGGGGTCATTGGACGGGATTCTACGTGCTCACGGACCAGGCTTTAGAGCATGCTCTAAATCCGCCTGGCGCGATAGGTTAGATGGTGGTCATCTAACCTGTCTATCGCCGTAACAACAATATAAAAAACATTATGTTCCAGCAGTTGGAGGTTAAGATAGCAATTCTTCTATAGTAGATTTTTACGGGTGAAGCTCGCTTCCATCTTTCGCACCTTCAGCCTGCTCACACCTTTCCATGAGATGAAGGTGCAGGCCAAAAAACTTCTTCTCAAATCTGGAACTAGTGAACCAATTTTGTAAATTCTTTCATCAATACAATGCAACATTATTATTTGTCAGTGTCAAAAGCTAAAGCATTATTACAACAACAATCATTAAAATGATAAATAAATAATTATACTTATCAGTACTGCAACAAAATATCGCTCAAATATTACTGTTTTAATTAATGAAATTAACAAAATGGCCACCAACGAGTTCACTTTCCACCGAATTCAATTAAACACGACAGCCGGTTCAGGGAACCCGGATTTATCCGGATAACCAGGTGCTAATTGGAACAGTAATTTTAGAGGAATTATATCACGATAATATACTATCTTTTGGTCGCGGCTTAAGCCGCGTGAATCTTTTTTCGCACATAATATACGTATGTATTCGTACAGTTAAAATAAATAACGTAAAAACATAATAGTCATAATATTGTTGTAAGCTTTCATGGTCACTAACATTAGAACAGTCTACGGGATACTACCTTTTTATTTACGAGCCTCCGGTATTTCGGCACTGTAGCAAGCACCATGATCAATGGAGTAACTTAAGATCTAGCGGGTGAGATGTTATTGGCAAACATATTATCGGTCTACCATACTCAGACATACCTATATTACATACCTATATTATACCTATACATACCTATATTATTACCTATTTATAAATGTAGACTGTCGCACCTTGAACAACAAAAATGACAGTCTACTAGAGATTTTTAAATGCCAATTAATACTAAGATGTTTTTATAGTATAGATACGTTATACCCGCTCAAGAATGGCAATGCAAAAGAGATACAATTGGACCTCTTGCATTCAGTCGTACATGATCGGTTGCCGCGAACAGCCACGAATGCACTTCCCGATTGCCTTCCTGATTGATTGATAATATGCCTTCGTGTGTTTTTAGTTGATGTACAAATTACACTGCCACTATTATGAACCAGAAAAATGTGTCATTTCATTCGTAAATACAGTTTAATTAGTAAAAAATTAAATTTTAATTTTTATTCAATTTGACAAGGGTTGACGGTTGAATTTGACATTTGAGCTAAAATCTAGAGACCACTGCCAGGGGAAGTTGGGGCGAATATCTATCAATTAAGAACTCTGCATTTAACTCACGGAATAATTGTTTTTCTCTAGAAAAGAATATTATTATAATTATGTATTCCTGTGTTGACACGTATTCATCCGAAATCGATAAAATCAATGCTATGGCTATTATTACTGTATGATTATAATGATTTATGATCAAACGAAAAAGACTTACTCGAGGAACAAAATTATAGCAGAAACGAATAATATTAATTATTTATTATTTTTATTTATCCTTGGACATTTTTACAATACGCTTCTAGTCCCAAACAAATTTGATGTACCTGTATAAATTTACAGTCTGCTAAATCAAAACTGTGGTTAATATGAAAAATATGGGCGGACTATGTTTTCCTATCGAGGATTATATTTCAAAGCCTACAGTCAGAAATGCTACTTCCCGATCCCAAAAAGATTGCAATTTGTATAAATAATCGAATTTTAATGTCTTTTTAGGGTTCCGTAGCCATATTGCAAAAACGGGACCCTTATAGGTTCGTCATGTCTGTCTGTCTGTTAGCTAGCTAGAGAATATTCCACTTTTAATCTCAGGGTAAAACCTCATACATTTTGCACATAAAAATAATCCGGATTTGAAAACTCATTATAAAAGACAAAAAAGGCATAATGAGTCTTACTCAAGTTGATTTAAGGGAAAATAATAAGTTACGTTTTGTCTTGCTTTTGTTTAAATATTAGTTTGATAGTTCATTCGAAAATACAATTTAGGTTCTCTATTATCTGTGAGGTTCACTCTACCCCATTCTCCTTTTCTGTGCAAAATGTCAAAATGAATAGCTGTCATAAAATAGGACTACGTGCGCCATTTTAAAATACAATAATGTAGGCGCATAACGTGTCTATTTATATGATATGTCATTGAATTAATTTAAATAATGGGTAGAGCAAGTACCTAAAGGGTGTAAACTAGGCTACAGCTGGGAGCCAATCTATCATTAACACATTATCGCTGAAAATGACTTACCTAAATGACAATGATGGATATTCTCACCCATAATTACGGGTAAAACAAAACGTAAAACTATTTCTGGAAACTATAGTATATAATTTTTGCCTTTAAGTCCCTTTTAGGGGAGACCGAGGAGTATATTGTGTTGTGACAGAGGAGAGTTGTGACATTGTTAATTTTTGGAAACCTATAAACTGTCAGCGAGCTCGCAACAGCGCGTATTTGTTAGCTCGAGACTTGAACTAAAAATACGCACTGTTAGCTTAGCCACAGACCATCGACTTTTAGTTGGCCGATAGTTGGGTCGGGCTCTTAATCAGTATGGAGATTTAAGGTAGTGCGTACATTACAACGATTTGGTATCGGCCGATTCTCCATACAAATTAGAATCGGGGCCAACTAAAAGTCGGTGGTCTGCGCTTAGGCTTACGAGCTCGTTAGTAGTTAATAAGTTAACAAAATTCGACAACGACATAACTCTCCTCTGTCACAACTCCCCTCGGTCTCCCACCACGTATTGCAATTTGCAATAACTAGTTCTTCCCAATTTTGTAAATAACACCTATTTTTTGTATTGTCCCCAGTTCAATTTCGTGGGGAAGCTGCTGGGACCAAAAGGGAACTCCCTGAAGCGTCTTCAAGAAGACACCATGTGCAAGATGGCTGTGCTGGGTCGAGGGTCGATGAAGGATCGACAGAAGGTAAACACAACACTTTTTGATGCTGAAAACAATAATTGAAAATGTGTAACTGTTAATTTAAATAACGTAAGTGCGCCTATTAACGACCCCCCAAAATTTGTATTCTATTACCGCCCTATTTTTATTTCTTTCATAAAAGACATAATAACAGGTTCCAGAAAACACTTTACCTAAAAAATATCTAGATATGTTTATTGACTATCAAACCGATTAAAGTTTGTGTTCGTAAATAACCAGTAAACGAAGTTATTTGACATTAAATGGGACGCGCCCGCAACGGACGCACTTTTCATACTGACGCGCTCCCAGCTACTTAAGGTGCACCTTGTTATTAATTAGCGATTTTAACACATTTAAAATGAGTATGTCAACATGTTTTTGCATAACAATATTAATTCGTACTTTAGTTTCCTTAATAAACCCTCAATATAGCCCTCTCGCTGTATTTTTGTGGTTTAAATACAATTTTAAATATGGGCGGTAATAGAAACACTTTTCATAATTTGGTTCCTAATAACGACCCATGGCGTTGTTAGAATTTTGATAAAGTTTTTTATTTTAGTATTTATATGTTTAATTACGCATTTAACCTCCATTTTGTTGTCTTAATCGATTCATAAGAATATTTCACATAATTAAATCAATTAACGCCATACGTTAATTGTCATAGGTTTGGCATAAAACTGCAATGAACATTAAAGAATATCTCTAATAATGTATGACAATAGAGTTTATAAAAAAACCTGTTAAATTGTAATTAGTACCTATTGATATATAATAAAGCCTAATAGAAATGATACTTCACTGATCACGTCTTCATTAAAGTAGATATTTTAGCTGGTTACTGTTTTTTTTTACGGTCGGTAATAGAATAAAGTAATATTCATACTTAATTCTATTACCGCCTCATAACTATAACGCCACCTGCGAAGACTTATAAGCCTGTATTTTGTATATAACTAGCATTTATGACATGACACCAAACCAATCGTGCTTTATCACAACTACTATGTAACTTTTTAAGATCTTTTGAATAATAAAAAATAATTTAAAATAGTTATACAGACAGTGTCCAATTGTCCATAGTTTAAATTAAAATACACAATTACATACAATTAAAATCAAAAACATAAAACTAATTAAAAATGATAGTCAAATCAAAATTACATTTTATTTAAACACAAATATATATAGTTTAAATAATGACCCCCACTACTCACTAGAACACCGGGTACCGCGTAATCAAGTATAATCTAATATTTTTGCTTGATTATTTATTTATTTTCGAGTAGCGTGCCTTTTCTCTTTTAATAATAAAAAAAAATAACTTAAAAAAACAACTTTAACTAAAACTAAAAGCAAAACAAAGGATAGTGCCAGGGTCTGGACCAAGTGCTGCCCAGAATCAACCCTAAGAATAGTTTGGTTACTTGACAGAAATCATTATTTCCAAAATGAATCAAGAAGTTTTAGTTCTCTATCTTTGCGAAAAATCAATTTATTGGTGTATTACAATCGATTATTGAAGTTATTGTAAGCTAAAACTTCTTGCTCTATTTTGGAAATAATTAATTTCGGTCAACTAACCAAACTACTGCAACAGCGCTTGATCGCTTATAAATAATGTCGAAGTCGTACTAAAGTAAGGTGTACGGATGCAGTATGGTTAAGTTCAACATAACGAGTGTTATTTAATGCCCAAATCGCGAAATGTTATGCGTAGTAGGTATACATCGATGATATTTTGTATGTAAATAATTCCAAACAAAACTCTTTTTTTCTCTTAACTCCAGGGATAGATTTCAGTGCGCTCCGGTTTACAAATTAGTATTGGCCTGAGGAACAAAATGCACTATAGTTTCATTCTGGGCAGCACTTGGTCCAACTTCCATACATGGATTGGCACTGTCCTTTAATTTGAAAAAATCAAGTGGTTCCCGAGCCTCTGAGCGGGAATCGAACCCGTGCCTCTTGAAATATACCCAATTGAAGAGCAATATTCTTAGCGGTCGGTAATAGAAACAGAAAAAACGTTAATAGAAACACACCTCGTCTATGGGTCGGTAATAGAAACAACTGCTTTTTCAGATTAAATTGCTATTTATTAATTATTGTGTGATTAAATACTCATTGTTACTACTTGAATTCAAAGATTACTTCATCATTGTTATAAATAAATTAAAGTGTCTTATCTATCACCACGCCTTATACCTAATTTTCTAACGTTTATCCGAAGGCAGCTTAAACTGGCGGTAATAGGCGCATTTACGTTAGTTTATCTAACAGTAATAAAAACAAAATCAATAGGTAGTGAGTGAGTGAGTAGCCGACTTCCTTTTGGTTTGGGAACAAAGTTTCTTTGGTGGATCCAAAGCAACTAATTTTCTTCCAGTGTCCACCAACGGAAAAACCACTTAAGCGATTACCTATCACACTGCACCGCGCTCCGCCGCGGTCCGCGTGGCGACATATAACGAATCCCGTGCGCAGACGCGTTGTCAGTGTGAAGTAGTGTCCGACCGAATATTCGGTTTCGGTTTCGTTTTCGGTTGAGTTTCGGTAAAAACACGAGTTTCGGTTTAGTTTCGTTTTCGGCGGCAAACTTGCCGAAACTACGACCGAAACCGAAAGTGCATTCGGGAGTTTCCGCGCTGTTATCGGTCATGTTCGGCGCGTTTAATGAGCGAATGAATCCGACCAGAGCCAATGTCGTGATTCGCTCGCTTGTTTGTTTGCTTGTTAGTTTTGTTTTGTTGTGGTGGCGAGTTTTCGAGTGATTTATTTTGAATTTGGTAAGTTTTATCTCGTTTTATGTCGTTATAACATAAGAGCGGGTAGTAAACATAAAAAAAATATTCAATATGACTGATAAAAGTATAATCAAGTTTAATCTACCCTATAATTTTTTTTTGGTTCGCAAATGCTATACGTAAACAAACATTAGTAAGGTAGTAGTAATGACTATAGTGCATTTCATGGTGATAATATTATGGATTCAGAGTTTCAAAGTTCATTTTAGTATAATTATCACCAAGGTATCCAAGTGGCAAGTACCTACAGTAGATACTAACTTACGTACTACCAAATTTGTTTTGAGAAATTATTAAGGTAAAAGACCCGACCATGGGACGGGTTATGTAGATGTCCTGAATATTGCGAGTAATTAAAAAAATCTAGACTATAAATCCTTCTTTTTCTTTTTTAATACATAATTTGATACCTTTTAGAGTAAAAAGGCGCTTTATAAGTTCAATTCAATTCAATTTTAATGCAATTTAAAGAGAAAACAATAAAGTCAGCCGTTTGGTGTAGTGGTTCAGAACGGACTACTACGCCGAGAGGTCCCGGGTTCGATTCCCGGCCGGACAGAAATTGAAATGAGGAATTTTAATTTTCTGTGACGGGTCTGGGTGTTTTCTATGTATAATATGTATGTATTTACAAAAAAAAGTATTTAAGTATGTTTATATCCGTTGTCTCGTATGTACCCATAGTACAAGCTTTGCTTAGTTTGGGGCTAGCGGCGCAGTGTAAAATGTCCAAGGATATTTATTTATTAAAGACTGACTGATTTATAATAACGTTTTCTTTATTTTTCCCTCAAATATGAGTCTTGTAAGGAAGTTTCGGTTTCGGTTTCGGTTTCGGCCGAAATAGACACCGTTGCCGAAATTCGTTTTCGGTTTCGGTTTCGGTCGTAAAACTAATTTCGGTCGGACACTAGTGTGAAGTGCCGCGCGTGTTTTCTATACAAACTGAGGTACTTGCATATAATGATTAAATCTGTCGTCTCGCGTACCGCACGCTGCGGAGCGCGGTGCAGTGTGATAATCGCCTTACTGTAGCTTTGTCCCAAGATTTTAGTAGCGTTGCCCCCACTAGCGGATACACAACTTTTTTTCATGTCCGTGGTTGAAGACAACCCTATATGGTTCAAGCAGACAATTTTAGTATACCTAGTAGTAATCACATAACTTTGCACTTTCTTTTGTCCGATAAAGAGTTAAACATTTTTACCAATCGAGATTTTTACAAATCCTTTTATTCGTCTGCAGGAAGAAGAACTTCGCGTCTCCGGCGATCCAAAGTTCGCGCACCTATCTGACGAGTTGCACGTGGAAATCAGCGCGTTCGCGACACCGGCCGAGGCGCACGCGCGGATTGCGTACGCGCTGGCCGAGCTCAGGAGGTTCTTAGTGCCGGTCAGTTCATGTAGAAGACATATTAAGTGCATAGTTAATTAATTTTTAGCGTTAAGTCGCATCTCAAACTAATTTGAAAATTATAAATAACTTGAAAAAATCGAACTGCCTATGGCGGGAATTGAAGCTACGACCATAACTACAAATTTTTACATAGAGCTGTTTCATCTTAACTGACAGTTAAATATTTGCAACAATATTTCTGTTAGATGTTTAAGGGTAGGTACACCCAACATTGATGAAACAAACGCTGGCCGTAACAGCGTATTACACTTGAAAATTTCGACGGGTTCATCCAGTGTCTAAGTAGCTCAGTTGGAAGAGCAGTCGCCCGGCAAGCGGAAGGTCGTGGGTTCAATTCCCGCCTTAGGCAGTTCGATTTTTTCAAGTTATTTATAATTTTCATATTAAATGCACTAAAACACGGGAATCATCATCATCATTTCAGCCACAGGACACTGCTTCCAATGATTTCCAGTTTGGCCTGTCGGTAGCGGTCTGCATCCGGCGATATACCTGAGGCAAATGGAGGATTTGGCCTCTTCCTCACGCTGGCCAGACGGGCTGATCAAGCTTGAAGTTTATTCCTTAGCCTTTATCATCATCATCATTTCAGCCACAGAACGTCCACTGTTGAACACAGGCCTCTTCCACTGAATTCCATATGGCGGTTGTTAGCGGCCTGCATCCAGCGCATTCCTGTTAATTTTTATAAGGTCAATCATTTTGTCTCCACTTCTGGAACATGGTCGACGAATTTACCAGAGTCTATACTCTTAACGCTCTGTCCAGATGGTTGGGCAAGCATGTTTCTTCATTAGCCTCCATCATCATCATCATTTCAGCCGTAGAACGTCCACTGCTGAACAGTGAACATAAACCTCTCCCAATGATTTACAGATGATTTAAAAATCAGTTTAAGTTGTGACTTAAAGGCTGAGTTCCACCATCTTACTTTAACAAACGTTAAAAATCTGTCGAACCCAAAACAAAAACGACCGGTTATTATTATAGTTACGGTTAAAGTAAGTTTGTGCAACACAGCCTAAGAAAAAGTGTTGTGTAAAATACGGTAAAATATGCAAGGTTTCAATATACTGCCTGAAAACACTGAAATAATTTTCACCTTACATCTTTCATATTACTTCTTAATACTGAGAATATCCTACGAATTACTTTGAGCGATTTAATAAACTCCCACACATACAAACTAAGACTGACTTTAGTCGTTAAAACTACGTGCACTGCGTCGCTCGCACTACTTTGTTTCAGAAATGCAATATCATACGACCAGTACCTCTAGCACGAAAAGCTTTCGTCTTTGAATCGTTTGCGTATTCAGCCTTCTCACTACAACATTGACGGTGAAGCAAAATACCCAGCCTTCAAATTCAACGACAACGTGACGATCTTGATTGTAATTATCTTCGTGCTACCATTTCTCATACTAAGTTCATTTTACGTCACGAACATTTTTCGTGCTAGAGGTACAGGCATTCTGTAATAAGTAATAAAGCTTTGGATTTCTCGTGCGAGCTTACAAAGTTCGCATATGAATATGTGATATTCTTAAGGATCTTTTTATGGCTACATTAGAAGTTAATTAAAATTCTTGGTAAAGTCTTAAAAGAACAGAAAAATAAATGAAGTCACTTATAGGATTATAACTAGGTGATTTTAAAAAGTAAAGAAAATAATTTTGTCTTAATTTTAATTCTTCAAAGTTGTTGAACCAAAATCGGTTCAAGCCTTATATAATTTAAAAATTCTAACTTTTAAGCTTTTTATATTCAATCGTATTAAGTTTGGATTAATTTACTCAAAGCTTTTAGAAGAAACTTTGAATCAGAGTCTCTATGGGACTCTAACTCTGGAAGAGTAAGGAAAAATAATTACTTGTTAACAAACACTTTTTAAAAATCTTAAAATGAAAAGAGGGAATGATACATTAATATTCTGCAAATGTGTCCATAAAGCTTTTTCTTTCTTTCTGTTTTATTTTTTCAAAATTCAGACTAATTTTACTGCCCTATTTTCTCATAGGTCTCATAACCCATAGATCATGTTTACTACCGCTATAAACACTATTATAATACAACAATACACCACTATAACACCTTATAATACCACAATAACACCACAATACGGGCACCGCAGACTGGAAGACGTAGCGTGGGCAGGCCTCCTACTAGGGAGACCGACGATCTGGTAAAGGTCGCGGGAAGAGCCTGGATGCGGGCAGCGCAGGACCGTGCATCGTGGAAAACCTTGGGGGAGGCCTTTGTCCAGCAGTGGACGTCATTTCGCTGAAACGAACGAACACCACAATAACATCATTAGGTATAAAACCATAATAACACCAAAAATTTTCCACAGGACTACAACGACGATATCCGTCAAGAACAAATGCTGGAGATGCAGATTCTGTCGTCTCAGAATGAGCAGCGGCGCCTGACTCCGCCTGAGTCCTCCAGGAGCGGCAGCGAGGAGACCCTGCCTCTCAGGGACAACAGCAAACATAGGGTAAGAATAAGAATCTAGTCATTTGTTGAGCGGCTGTTTTAGTTTAATGAAAGAAAGAAAGAAAAACATTTATTTGGTTCCAACTTATAATATAACACACAGAATCAGATAACAAAAAACAAATACAAGTTAGAACCAAAATTAGCCACCGCTCAGCATGTGTCATGCTCTGGAGTGGAGTGTCCCATAATGGAGTCCTAGTATCAGTGCGACCGGTATCGGATCAATTCTACGAATATGATATTATACTATAGAACTATCTTAAGGGCAATTTAGGGAAGCAGTAAGACTCTACCTGAAGGACTACATCAAATACCACATCATCCATTATCAAATACCATATTTACCTAAGTCTGTCACCATCAAAACAAAGATAACAGCAATATTGCGCTTCAGCAGTTCTTTTGTGGTTGTGGATTCCTTCAGGTGAGATGCAGGTCAAGAGGTTCATAGCTTAAAGAAATTAAAGCCCCTTTTAGCTACATAGAGGCGAAAACCATAGGCTTGCAATTGATTTATTTGTAAGCTGTTTGTTTTCTGAATATAATAAAAATAATGCTGTGGTCTGCCACCAGATGTCAGCTGTACAACCAGTAGCGCAGCCGATGCCGGGCGTGGTGCCCGGCGCGCGAGACTTCTCCCCTCCCGCCCCCGCCCCCGCGCCAGACCACCTCACCGCTGCCCATCATCAGGTACGATATACAGGGTGTTAGGTAAATGGGTATATGAGCCGACACTAGCCCATGTTAACATGGTCATATAAATGGTATGGTGAAGTCAGAAAATTGATATCATCATTTTAATTAATTTAATTTTCATACAAATCCGATTTTATAAAATTTATTTTGTATGAAAATTAAAAACAATAAAATGATGATATCAAATTTCTGACTTCACCATACCATTTATATGCCCATGTTAACATGGGCTAGTGTCGGCTCATATACCCATTTACCTAACACCCTGTATAGGGTGTCCCAGAATGGGAGAATCAAACTGATAGGGGAGGTAGCTCTACTAATGTACTATCCTTAAAATATATGAAAAAAATAAAGCGCAACACAAACACAAAAAAAATGATTTTTGAAAAAGTGAAAATAAATCAGCTTTGCCTAAGTATCTGGCTATAATTGCTGCGTTTGGAGTTTATTTGTACTTTTTTCTTACTAATATTAATTGTACATGATCGCTTCGTTTATCTGTAATCAAACTTTTGAAAATAATGACTAGATTACGAGTATAGAGCACATTATTGAAAAAAAAATTCCGAACTCACAAATTAGGGTTAAAATTCAAGTCACAAAGGCAGCTGAGAACCCAATTCCACTCCACCCGTAAGTAAACACATCTCTGAAATGCTTTAAAATCAATACAAAAAGCAATCCAGCAGAACGCGGAGTCGGCAGCTCTGGTGAACGGAAAATGCATACAAGCAGCCACCAGAAATGACCTGAGAATTAGATTTGATTTGAACCTAGGCTTTTGAAAAGCACAAAAGCTCTTAAATGTAAGCAAAAATAATAGAAATGAGCTTAACAACATCAATAAGTGTATGATAGCCAGGAGTTTATCTTCTCTCTTTTTCTTATAATCTCTACTTTTTACTATCTTACTATAAAAAAGGTTGTGAAAAAACTTGCGTACTTGCATTGTACCAGTGACTAATTTTTTGCACGGGGTCATAATATTTTGATTTTTTCGTGGATTCCGAGGAGATTCGTATTCTGATAAGCAGGTATAATTGGAAATTAAATGCGATTGACTGACATGTGCCTTCGTCTGTACTGATCACAAACCAGAAAGATAAAATAAATAAAGAAAAGGGGTACCTATTGAAACTTAAAGGAGTTAGGATGTAACTTTCAAAATAATAAATAAATAAGAATATCCTTAGACATCGAATATCCTTACACTGCGCCATCTAGTCCCAAACTATTAATGCGTGTATTTCTTTGCTTTTACCGTTCACCGTGAATATTGAGAAGGAGTCCTGCAATATTTAATATAATCTATTCCGCTCCAAATTGCGAACTGTGAAGATATCGCACGTAGCTCATTTTGTATTTCAATTTGTTGCTTTAGCACTGACTTTGCGTTATTCGAGTTTTCAGGGTTCCGTATTCAAAGGGTTCCAAATGAGACTATTATTAAACCTCTGTTAACCGTCCATTAGTTTGTGAGTCTGACAGTGGACTATTGAATTATTCACAGTATGTGTATTTCTAATGCCACTATAATGTATCACGGGGGACAGACACACTTTAAGATTTTTTTATTGATGTTGAAATGTTTTTTAAGACTAATAAAAGGTTTAATCTTGGTACGAAACGCTCAGAATCCCGACTCGCACTTGTCCAGTTTGTTGAATGGAATCCTTTGGATGACAAACATACAACATTTAAATGTTAATAGGCTGAGTTGCACCATCTTACTTTAACTTTAACAAACGTCAAATATCTGTCAAACTCCATACAAAAACCACCGGTTATTGTTATAGTTACGATTAAAGTAAGTTGGTGCAACTCAGTATTTTATAGCTGAGTAACCCATGACTTAACATACATAAATTCATAGTGAGGACGCGTTGTGGCGTTGGAGACCGTTTGATGCTGAAATTTTATGTTTTCTACTTAAATCTATACTAATATTATAAATGCCAAAGTAACTGTCTGTCTGTCACGCTTTCACGCCTATACCACTGAAGCGATTTTGATGAAATTTGGCATAGAGATAGTTTGAGTCCCGAGAAAGGACATAGGAGAGTTTTTATCCCGGTTTTTGAAACAGGGACGCGCGCGATAAGGTTTTTCTGTGACAGACAAAAATTCCACGCGGGCGAAGCCGCGGGCGGTAAGCTAGTTATTAATATGGCTAAAATCCTTTACCTCCCGTACTAGTGCAAACTCAACTGTGAAAACACCAGTTAGTAAGGTTTAAAATACATAATTATACGTACCAAAGTCATAATATAAAGGGTTAATTGATACTTTTCTGTCTACGTTCATGATTAATTATTCATAAGACAATTTAATACTAGTATTTAGTCTTCATAGGAAACCATTAGTCCATTTGTTCATTTTCCCAAGTAATTATGGGCTAGAAAATATGTTTTGAGCATTAATATGTTGAATAAAATATGACTAAATTATAATAAACAATTCACAGTAGGGGCCTATTAAACGTATTTTTCTCGACTTATCAAAATAAAATAAAGTTTTTTTATTGCCAATGTATTAACAAACAAAGACTTAATTATTTTTATATTAAATTAAGTACTTATTAAAAGTTATTTACTACTTTATAAAATACATTCGGAAATACAGCCATTTAATTGACAGAAAATAAATGTAATAAGTATCAAATAATAAGGTCTAACTGAACTGCCAAAAAAAGGAAATCTGAACATATTTTTAAACCAAAACTATATGGTATCCTTCCGTTTGGCCAAATTACTTTTCGCCAAATTTCACTTCGCAAACAACTTATCGCCAAAGTTTCATTTCCCAAATGAACTTTTAGCAAATGTACTTTTCGCAACTATTTCATTTGGTCAAATTATCATTTGGTCAAATTTTACTTGGCAAATGTTTATATAGCAAATGTTTTATTTTGCCAAATATTATATCCCAAATAATTTATTTGGTCAAATTGACACTTCACATGCTTACCCACCGTTACCCACAAATCAAAGCACAAGGCAAATTATCATGGTTTTCACAAGAATTTTATGTAAAACAAAGAGATTGCAGAAAATAGTATGGATGCGAAAGTAGGTTTTGCAGAAAATAGTAAGTTAGGTTAGGTTAGAACAGTGACCCTTAACGCGCGAAGGCGAGCGAAGCGTGCCGCGGCAGCGGCCGCCGAGCGCTAGAATCACCTCTATTGTTAATTAATCATTTAGTTTCGATAAAAATAATGAAATATGAAAATAAATTTAGAACAAATTTTATATTAACTACCCACTAAACAAAATAATAACCACAAGCTAATTTGTATTCCATTCTATGCACCAATCAAATTATTTTGTAAATAGTTTATCGTGAAATATTTTTGCCAAATGAAACATTTGGCGAAACATACTTTGCCAAACAATAATTTGCTAAACAATAATATGCCAAAAAAGACATTTGCGAATTAAAAGTTTGCAATAAGTTGTTTTGCCAAATGAGAATTTGCCAAATGAAAATTTGCGAAACGTTGTTTGCCATGTGATAATTTGGGAAACGTTTTTTGGCCAAACATTAGTAATCCAAACTTTATCCACAGTTGGCAGCAGGCCACACCGGGCACGGAGTCTTGGTCGGCGGGGGCGTGCTTCAACAACCACCAACCCATCATCTTCTAACACAGAACTCTATTCTAGGTAAGAACAATCGAGGTAAGAAAGTACGCAACCAAGCTCAGAACAAAAACCAAGCTTGATGAAACTAAGCTCGGAATAAGTAAGCTTGAAAATGGGCTTGATTTGGAGTGAGTTTTATTTTATTTTTTATTTTCATTTAGATATTTTGTGACATTAGCATCGATTTAGTTACAAAGTCTCGTACTAAGGCTGAGTTGCACCACGTAACTTTAACCTTAACTATAACGATGACTGGTGCTTTTGTATGGAGTTTAACAGACTTTTGACGTTTTTTAAAGTTAAAGTCGGTAAGATGGTGCAACCCAGCCTAAGGTTACACCATCTTACTTTGACTACAGACTACGTTGCAGACGTCAAAAATCTATCAAACTCACAAAAAACACCGGCTGTCGTTATAGTTACGGTTAAAGTTAGGTTTAGTATCGTAGCTTTGGTGTCATATTTTTTGTAGCTCAAGCTCAAGGTAGGTCAAGAGTATACCCACTTGAAATCAAGCCCCTTTCAACCTTACTAACCTTGCAACTAATACCTCCTTCGCATCAAGTGCAGTCCAGTGCTCTTGCCAAAGCAAAAGATATTTGCAAGCATTTACTTACTGGCGCTAAATATTTCTATAAACAATATGAACATGCGCACATACTACGCGCAAATTGTGCAACATTTATTATTCTACACCATTTCAGTGTTTAGATTACGAACCTACATCTAAGCTAAATATTAAGTCACATAGCTATATTTATTTACCATCCTGTGTGAGCTAAGCCAAAGTAAACTAGTTAATAGCATAATATGAAGCTAATTAGCAACCGAAACTAATTAGATGAACACGAGATTAATATTTCAAGTTTTTTAAGTCTGAAAAGATGTCACCATAGTGTATGGCATAATAAAATAGCTTCGTTTTGTATATTAACCGTTTACGGGTCCACAAACTACGAGTAAATACAATAGTAAAATAGAGTCTATAAAGTACACATAATAAGTGAACTGTTGAACTGTTAACATTTTTACTGGGACCAAACTAGAAACTTTTCCAGAGGCACGTTCAATAATTGACAACACCTACACAGTTCATAAAAGTGCTGGAAAAAAAATTGGCACCTTATTAAAAAAGTGATGGAAAAAAGTGTCAAGTGAGATGACATTTCGCGCTAGTGTTTTGCAAATATCTATCGCCAAGGCAGCGGTCCCCTAACACCGCACTAACACTAGGTGGCAGCGACATCCTGGGCCTCAGCAGTCCAGTGCTGGGCGGCGTTCTGCACGCCCACCCGGCGTTGCGCGGCGTGAAGCCGGCCGCTGTCCACGCTCTGGCGACGCAAGGTCGGTACGTCGAACTTTTACAGTATTTCATAAGATTCTTAGGCCCTAATTATCAGGCTGTGGTCTCCTATAAACGCCGTAGGCCGTGTACAGCATCACGCTGTTCCCGAGTCACAATGCTTACTATAGAAATGAACTGTTGTGTTGTGGTCTCCTTCAGAGGTTGACGTTGGCGTACGGCGTCCTTAACGGCTGACGTCGTGCGCCGCGTACTCACTTTCTGAAAGAGTTTAAAATAGGAGACTACAGGCTCAGTTTCTATGATTAAAGAAGCGAACATGAGCCAATAATACATATAAATAAATACACAAATCATAGCATGAAAAATGTTTCTGAAAATGCCAGCAAAAAGCAAGTTGCCCTGAAATAAGTTATTTTTATATGATCATTATTATATCTTAACGACCCAGAAATTAATGGAATAATATAAGTTTAGTATTTTATGGGAAATATTCTTAGAATAGTGTCTTCCTTATGTTCTTGGAAAATTAAACCATTAACGAGAGATGTTACTACTGCTCAGAATATGCTACTACCCACTCACCCGTTTATCTTCCTTAGAGAGGTCACAGACGAGCGACAGTATCGGCAACTGCGGGTGTAAGAAAGTGGTACGGGTACGGGACTATTTCCACCTCTCGTTCCCACCACTGCAACTCCTGTATAACCAGGATCTATAGCTTAACCGCCAATAAAAACCCAACCAGTGAAGGTCAAGTCTGTCCCAGGGGAAAGTTAACTGTCATTGAACCCGCAACGAAATTAATCTGAAGAACATAACGTGGGCTTGTGATAGTGGTAGGCGACGGTCAGCGACTGTAGGCGTCTGTAGGCTACAGTCTCCGACTCGCGCCTTTCGCTGTCATGACATGTTGACACTCTGACTATACGTAGTGACTGCCCGTCGTCGAGAGTCGTGGTGCATCGGCGACTGTCGGCGACCAATCGGCCGTATTCGCGATGCTTCGGCGACAGTCGTCTAATTTGAATACTGTCGCCGGCGAAAGAATAATCGCAAGCAGTCGCCGATATACTGTCGCTCGTCTGTAAGCTCCCTTAGTCGTTTATCATAAGTTGTGTCAAATATGTTCTGCTCCAGAGAAATTTACTTGCCCACATAAAACAGAATCACCTCCGTGCCTAGACTAAAAGCTACCTATTTCTTGTTTTATTACAAAAGGGAAAGGTAATATAGCTGGTACAGTTAGGTAAAAGTAATGTCTAGAATTTTAGATTCAGAATACTTTTTTACTAAACAAAAGACAATAAAAATGTTTAGACTTTTGATATTGCATTTTTAAGCCAAATTGCTATAAGTTAAATAAATAATTGAACAATATTGAGAAAACAGCTGTTGCATAAAAAGAAAGTTTTTTACCTCTCTTACATCTCAGACAACTTACACAATATTATTTGTCTCTTTTTTGTTGTGACTGATAACTGACTGATGTTATTTTATTAAGTCATTTTAAATGAATATTACAAATAAAATTCTAATTAGTAATATCCCGATATTACTTCAAAATCGTGTGTCCTTCTGTATGAAAAAATTACTAACTTAATAAAGGTTGTTTTGAATTAAGTTAGTATAACAATTATGTTGGTAATAATACGTACCTACCTATTTTGTCTTATTAAGTTTACCAGTTTAAGCTCCATTTTCAAATTACCTTAAACAATTCAGTGTTGTGTGGCAGCTCTGTTTCTAATTACGTAATTATGTTTAAACAATAATTATGTTACCATCTGTTCAGAGTATCAGTAAGTTAATCTTATATTATTTAGAATGTTGAAACTAAAACAAAGTCGTTAGCACTCTTCTTACGTCATTGTTATTTGTAACATGCTTGCATGCATTAGCATTTATTTAATGCATTAGCATTCCAACCAGTCTGTAATTTCGAAATTTTGAAGTGTTTTAGTGTGAATCAGTAAGTTTAGTCAGGGTCTGACTCTGAATATTGTAGCTTATTGACTCTTAATTAAATAAGTTGATTAAAACAACTCTGTACAATGAGGCAACCATAAATAGAGTGAAAGTAGGAAGAAAGAACGTCTTGTCAAAGATGGGTTTTATATCTGATCTGCAAGCAAAGCTCTTCCCAAAATTTTAAATCTCCACGAAACACGTTTCACTACTGAAACAACAAGATCAGATCGTTCAAAAACGATTATTAAATTTCTTTTCTTTCCCATCAACTCTCGGATGACCGTTATACTTATAAAATAAATCCGAGAAGTTTCCGCTTCTACCAAAGATAATCGAAACCAATAGAGTTGTGCCATTTCGAATTTCTACAGTGCAGTGGCGACATCTCTCGTAATTTAATGTCCAACGCGACGTTGCTTAATTGAAAACTTGGTCTGTGGCGGATTTAGACAAACAAAAACTAAGCTCGCTTTTTATTGGTTGAGACGAGCTTGGTTCAAGTTATGAAAAGTAACGTTTTGAAAACCGTTGAGTACCTAGTAGGTATATAAATGGATTTTTAATTACTCTCTTTATTAAAATTATTGTTTTAAACTTTGTGTTACGCAAAATTATACGAGACCCATTAAACTACCAGATATGTTTATAAGTCAAATACATTTTTTTGTATTGGTTCGGTATTAGGTTATTTTTTTAGGTTTCATGTTAACACGAAACCCTAAAATTAATAAGAATACCTAATTATGTATTTGAATTTCCATAAGCGCAATTCATAAAAAAGATTCAAACATCTACGACCACAATAACAATGAAATAAACATCGCTTTTCACCCCAACTTTATACCGTGACCTATTTGAAATCTTTATCGAGCATTTAGACTAGACCTTTGAGTGTCGGGACTCCATTCCGAACAATGACATTCGCAAATTTGTCCCTTTGTGTTGCCATTTTCATTTAACTTTATTAAACAAAAGCCGTTTGAAGTTGCCATTGACAAAATGACAGAGCAGAACGAGGAAAATTGTATATTTATTTGTGATTTGTTTCGACTCGCGGTCTCTCCCGATTCGTTCTGTCGATGAAATATTGTCTAGCAATAGAAATTATATTTTACAAATAAATAAACATGAGCTTTTATAGTCCCAACAAGATGCTAAGTGCCCATTACCATTATTTATTATTTTTACCTGACTCAATCTATCTCTATTGCAAAATACAACAAACAAACATAGCGTACTTTCGTTTTATATTAATATCATAAATCATAATTATAATTTTGTTTTGTGCTTCGTTTTGTACTAGTGGACAAAACATTGAAACCATATTTAATTAACAAAAAATATTTATCATGTTTCATTTTGTTATATGTCTTACCATGAAATGTAACTATAAATAGATTTATTATATTTTCTAATATAGAGGTCTCATATTTATCAGTTATTCTATATTCATTATATTGTCGTTATTGGTAGTTTAACAACTTATAAGCCCTTCAGAGTTATTAAAGTATGGTTTTGCGTTGATGAATAGCCAGGAGTCAGAAAATAGCGGACGAGGGTGGATTAACCTTTTCAACGCCAATGACGGATACATGCGTAGGTACATCAGGTTGACCGCCTTAAAAATGATGTCAGTAATAGGCTAATTGAGTATTAAGTAAACTGAATAATAATGAATACAATGATTATAATGATATTAACATAATTTATCAAGCGTGGCGTCAGAGTAATGGCTTTTGTATTTGACGTGGTGCTGAAAAGGTTAAAGTTATTTAATTGCCATTGCTAACCCAGTCATTAAATGCAGTGTAGATCCGGTGCTAGCTGATTTAAATAAAAACTTATTTATTTAGTTAGGAGTATAATATTATTACATTAGCCTTATGATATTGTAATACGTTTCCATTTCCATTTCCCAACAATAATTCCAATTCCAACCAGGTGCGGGTGGGGCGGCGGCTGCGAGCACGGCGCGCAAGCGGCCTCTGCTGGGCGGCGCGCGAGCCGCCATGTCGCCGACTAAACGCGCGGTGATGACGCTGCTGGCGCGCGCGCGTGCAGCCACGCACAAGCACGCGCCCGCCTGGCCGGCGCCGCACGAGTGAGTAAGCTAGTTTCCATTTTTATTTTTTGAGTTTCCATTTCCACATTCCATTTCTATTTCCGGTTCTATAAATTTTGAGTTTCTAATTGCACATTTCATTTCTGTTTTCAATTCTTTAAATTTTGAGTTTCCAATTGCACATTCCATTTTATATTTCCGGTTCTTTAAATTTTGAGTTTCCAATTTCACATTCCATTTCTATTTCCGTTTCTACATTTCTTCATTTTCATATACACCGTGTTACTTTGCATTCTTGCCATATTCACAGAGATAAAAGTAGGGACCAATACCTGTTATTTAAGATAAACAAGAGACTCCCATAAAGAAAGTACACTGAGTTTTTAGTAAATTTGGTTTTGCAGTACAAATTGGAATAAACCAATTTTGTCTCGCACTTTCTACAGGTGCAAGTGGAATAAACCTAGTGGGCGTGGCCTAGTTCTTATTAATCTGTGATGTTTTATGGCTCTGGGTACCAGCCTTTTTATCCAGTCATAATAATTATTTTAAAATACTCTTCAGTTGATTTTAGATTTTCCTTTCTACTCTCAGTTTCTACTTTACGGGCTTAGGACCGTCAAAAATACGTAATAATTATTAGGCTTTTAATTAATTTATAACATTGTTCCCTATTTTTACAAATTAATAAATTAAGTATGAAATGAAATCACCTTATTCACAATTAATTATTTATTTATGAGTTCCTACTTACAAAGTTTACGTACTGCGAAGCAAGTGTTCAAAGTGTCCTCCGTTCTGATGAAGGCACAGTCTAGCACGGCGAAGCGTAGGTATTTCGCTTTAGTTTTCGCAACACATAAACGTTTTGTCTCACAGTTTCGCTGAAGCAATCCTTTCACGTAACACGTTTACACTTTTTATCTCTTCTGCGCATACCAGGTCGTTTCAAGTCACTCCAAAAATAATAGTCCATTGGTGTTAGGTCCGAGGATCGTGGTGGCCAAGCTACTGGACCCCCTCGTCCAATCCACTGTTCACCAAACGTATTATTCGCGCACTTGACGTCCTTATTGTGGGGGAGCACCATCCTGCTGGTAGTAGAGCATTTGGTGTAACGCTAAGGGTACGTCATCAAGCATTTCATTTAAGACGTCTTGCAGACACTCCAAGCACCATTTTGATTAAATTATTCGTTGTTTGAATACACTTCAGTCATTTTTGTATTATTTATAACGTGATTTGTGATTGATGGATTTCTCAGTTTTTTACAAAAGTGTCAAAAAGACATTTTAAAGACAATAGATTGCAATAGATATTTAAAAAATACAATAAAAAGTAAAAAAGTCTCCATCGCCATCGCTAACATAAGTGATGTGCATGAGTTACGATAGTTAGTGATGTGTTTAACAGATTGTCGATAAAATAAAATATTCAAAATTAAAAATCAAAATTTTCGGGCATTATTTTTTAACGGATTTGTGTTCAGTATCAGTAATATAGTTACCTCTGTAAATATGGCAAGAATGCAAAGTAACACCCTGTATTTCCCTATTCAATTCCTTTTAATTCTGAGTTTAATGCCCGCGCGCAGCCATACATAGGCAGTGGTACGCACCCGCCTGGCCGGCGCCGCACGAGTGAGTAAGCTAGTTTCCGTATTTATGGTTTGGATTTCAATTTTCCGATTTCATATTTCTATTTCCGGTTCCACATTTCTATTCCCGATTCCATGTCCTTCCAATCCTTTACCATACCTTTTAAAGTTAAGTACCGTTTAATAATGCCCGCGTGCATAGCTGGCGCCGTGCCAGTGATTATTAGCTGGTTTCTGTATTTATGTTCCAAGTTTCTACTTCTCTTTTCTCTTTCCTTTCCCGTTATCTTTGCCTATTGCCGTTCCTAATATGAGTCAGTAAGCTAGTTTCCGTACTTATATTTAGAATTTCCGTTTCCGGTTCTACGTTTCCATTTCCAGTTCCGTTTCTATTTCAGGTTCTTTTTTTATTACCCTAATCCGTTGTCGTTTCTAATACCTAATCGTAATAAGATTAGTATATAAATACGTAAGTCTGTGATTAAATAGACTTCATAAAACCAAAGGTGCATGTATCAAAGATAATAATACCATGTACGAGCAATAGAAATAGAATGGTCCAAAGAAACCCCTAAAATGTTCAACCCAATAACTTCAATTTACCGAAGCTCAGGACCTGATTATTCGCTATTAGAATAGTATTAACAAAGGCATTATCAAATATCTTTGCACAACGTGGAGCAAATAATTGGTTAGCTGGCACCATTAACCAATAATTCAAAGCTCAACTTGTCTGAATAAATACGTCGATTTACCTCTGAAAACCCAATTGATTTCAATTTACTGTGAAATTCTATTTATGTTGATCGAAATCGATAATTAAATTGTCAGTCGAAATAGCGAACAAGTGACTCGTAAGTAGTTACTATTCAAAGAAGCCATGTCATTAATGAAATACATTCATTTCCAGTTTATTATCACAAAAATCTACTGATGGTAAATGTGTTCTCATTCTAATGTTACTAACATTTTCACAAATTATATGATTTAATTTGATATTAAATTGATTTCATTTGTTATTTGTTGCAGGCACACTGCCCTACTGCCGCTCATACGGGACGAATTCGTCGCTGGAGTCGGCGTCAATATCAATCTAGCGTAATATGTTCTAATTTAAATTAGGAAAATCAATATCAAAATAATAATAAAAATACATGAACATCGACCACAGACTATGAACTATTTTAATATAATTATTGTTAATTCAAAAATGTTGTATTTACTGTCGTTATGTTTATTAAAGTTTGAAATAATTTTATCTTAATAATATTTCACAAATGTCAAATTACTATTATTTTTTTGTTATAATAATATGATGTCATGATGTTGAAGTCATTTTTATATTTTTTATATATTTGTGAATATTTTCTTAATAATTAAAATAAGCAATGAATACGTTGTTCTGTAAAGCTTAATTAATATCAGTCAGTATTTTTATCTGTGTATTTTTGTTAGTATTTTGTAAAATAAATAAATTATTGTACTAGTCAAACGAACGAGTAAATCATAATTTTTAAATTAATAGAAAAATAATTAATTGATAATAGCATAGACGTAATATTTAATTCGTACCTGCATTAGATTTATTATTTCATATTTTTTGTTGCAACACCCTCATGTATTATAATTGGTTAAGAGTATTTTATATATTTACGGTTATATATTTTAATAATTGTCAATTTCAATGAACCCCAGCTTATATAATTTAGTCTTAAGCAACGATTAGTAATTATTGTATAGATTATAATAAAGGACCATGGTGTATTAAAAATATAATCCTATGCCTTTTAGGAAAAGTTTTGTATATAAATATTTATCAATACTGATTAGGATTAAGCCAAATTATGAATATACAGACGAAGAAGTATTTGAAATTAGTATAATAATATCATTGATTAGTGAATAATAATAATATTTCGAAATATTATACTTGGAATCCATTATTTATTAATGTTATACAAATCATATAGTTGGATGATTTCACAGCAAAGTATATCCATGTCGCAATATAAAAATAAAATGTGGCTCTTCTAGATACGCGTTTTACGCTCGTCTTATACCTAGCTCATACGCGCGCTACATTTCATAAAAAAAATGCCGATTCCAGCATATTTTTCAAAGTTTTATAGTCGGTTCGTGCGTGTACGCTAGGGTTTCTGATTTCTCGACCTATTTTTTTTTCTCGAGTTTCGGGAATTCTCGAGGCCAAAGTCTCGAGTTTTCTCGGGTCTCGAGTCTTTTAATTAAAATTGTTGAAATCGGTTGAAATTTGATAAAAACACAGGTTTTTTAAAATCTAATATACAAAAAAACTAAAACCCAACTACGTAAAAATGAACAGACTGAAAAGATAGGAACAAGACAAAGTGTTCACAAATGCAGTCGGAGACATCAATGACTATTTTTTTTTTGTTGGTGATAAGTAGTTGCTGATAAGCCGTGTAGAATACATTAGAATACATTTGTCACCAACCCCTACTCTTTCCGCGGAAGGCGGTTCATAGTCCATAAGTGGACTGTAAAGGGCTGTTGATGATGATGATGATGATAAGTGTTTGATGTCTCCAACTGCATTTGTGAACACTTTGTCTTATTTCTATCTTTTCAGTTTATTTTTACCCAGTTGGGTTTTTTGTTTTCAATAATATTTTTATTTTAATCTATTAGTTAGAGAGCATACATTTTGCAAGCTATTTAAAAACCCTTTATTGATACCCCACTCGATAGGTTTTGAGATATTTTTTAATACATTATTATGGCGCCAAAAATCGGCCATTTTTATATTTTCCAATTTTGATATACCCAGTGTCACTCTCACAGTAAAACAAATCTAATGATACCTCACATGCCATAGTTTGTTGAGTTTCACAATATGGCGTCCAGTAGTCGCCATATTGAATTTTTACTAACGTCATGTCTTTAGTGACACTCACCGAAGTAAAAGAAATCGATTGACGTGCGAATCATAAAAATCGACTCAAGAGTTTGGTCTCTATAGTGCTTCAAAAATATACATACATACATAGGCTGTTAGACACATTACCACTCCTTTGCGTCACGCATTCGGGTAAAAAAGGAAAGACTAGACCAGTCTAAAAGCAACGTTAACCTTTTAAATAATTAAAAACTTACTTTTGTCTAAGAAAATAGGCTTTCAAGATTATTAAAAGCTTCAAATTCGAGACTCGAGAATTCTCGAGCTCCGGTAATTTTTTTCTCGTCTCGAATGAAGCCAAATTTCTCGAGTTTTCTCGAGTTCGAGAAAGCTCGAGCAGAAACCCTAGTGTACGCATCTATCAGAAGATCAGAAGATTTTATAATAAATACACACACATTATAAAGTAGAGCTTGTATACGCTAACAAAACGCCAATCAGAAAGAGCCACAAAGCTGATAATGATATTATAAATACTATATTTACACTTTTGGGCTAGAATCTACGTTGATTGTGATATCATTCGACTATATTTTCGTAAAAAAAACATAAGGCACTAAATAACTTTCAATGACACATATTATATTAATGATATAAATAAAATCTCACCGGGCACATGAAATCGTTTTACTGAACAATTTTTCTGACTCAGTTAAGGCTCTGTCAAAGAGCGGGAGAAAATGATGTCTTTAAGAGACACTCGCTGTAACGGTTGTAAAAATATGGCAGCTGTCAAATCGTATAAAATTTGATGTGATGCCTCGCCACACTTGTTGTCAGAGGCTTAATTGAATTTAAATCTAAATAAGCACATCATAAATAATTATTATAAAACGTGATATTTGCGAATGGTTTAAATATAGAGTTTCAAAGTTAGTTTATTTTTCAATAATACATTAAAATTTCAAACATCTTTAAAACTAAATTATAAATGGATAAAACGGATTTGGTATTGGCAGAAATAAGTACTTTTTATTGAACCTTATAAATTATTATCTTATTTTTATTGGCTTTAACTTAATATTATTTTATCTGCAACTGACAGTGTTACCAACAAGCTCCTACGACTAATTTAAATTTTTAAAAGTTTTTTAAATATACGTTTGGAATCATTCGTAAAAACCACGTTCAGTTTAAAATAAGTCACATATTATTAGTAAACAATGTAAATATATGAAGAAAATAATATTAAATTAATTGAAAATAGGTTAAATTTAATGTAACTGATAAACGAAACGAATAACTTAATGTTATAAGTTAAATTATTGCTAAAACGTCCACTTGGTTCAAAATATAAAATTGTTTGATCAAATGTTATTTGAAAATTATATCTCATCAATGAAAATAATTGAAAGAAATGAGAATGATTTTCAAATCTATTAAAATAAAAGAAAATAAAAATAACAAAAGGAATCGAATAAATTTTAAATGTGTGTCAAATGATTTTAGCTCATAAATAAGAAACTGTAATGTTAGTATTCTAAAGTATAGTGTAAAATAATAATATAATAAATAAAATGCTTCGAAAAACCTTGTCTGTGTTTTGTGATAAATCATAGTTAGAAAATGCAATCCCCTGTAAAGATACTTAATAAAACTTTAATTATATTAAACCCGTTTATTTTTTAGACCTTTAGCGTTTGCCCTGCGTTTTACGCCCTTTTTAACAAACGTAAGTACTTACGTATCCATAGTGCCAAACCCTGCACGCGTAAAATACATAAAACGGTCTCAATATTGTAGTCTTGAGTTGCCACTCAAATATCATCATCAAGCTAATTTTGTTAATTTTAATTAAATTTAAAATAATCAAAAGCTAGACTTTTTTACTTTTTTATCATTTCAACTATTTCACTTTTCACAAATTGAAAAAAAAATTACTTCTAAGACCAAAATCTCAATACTATTCTACCGTAGATAACAGGGAAAAAAAAACATTTTTCCAGTAAGTACATACATTTTATAAGTGATAATAATAATACCTGCTAAGAAAATATTACGTGTGATTCCCTCCTACACTCAAAGTATGTAAGTACCTAACGTGTGTGTCTAGCTAGAGAATAAAAATAGCCTTAACCTCCTGAGTACCAGACATACTTTTTTTGGAGTTTCGTTATGAAATTTTTGTAGTGCACTACATTGTGGTAAGTTAGTATAAAAAAAATAGAAAAAAAATTATCAAATTGGAAAATCTTGTTTTTCACTATGTCCTTTTTAAAGGACAACGGTATTAAATCAACGTGTCATTTGTAAAGGACATAGCCATTTTTTGCGGGTTAATCTAGAATATACTACAAATAATAGGTTATTTCAAACATAATTTTAGATGTATAATATTTATTTTTATTGTTCTTTATCAAAATTAACGAAATTCAAATTTTAATCAACATAATTCTCAAAATTTAACTTTCTCTTACAAAATCAATATAATTAAACATTAGAAACATTAGAGATCAGTANTATTATCTAAAAGTTAATAATAAATATTTAGTTTTTGTAAATCTAAACAAGTCAGGAAATCAAAGAGGTAAATACGGATATTATTGTGATTTTATAGAATTTATTATTATAAACCACGGTCGTATAATGCTAAAAAATCAGAGGTAACTTTAAGATATTTATCCATAGAGCAAAATTTATCTAATCGTGTTTTTAAACAGTTATCCCATTAGGTACTTATGCGTTCTGTAATACAAACCCATCAAAAACAATACTTGTCAAAAAACCAAGTCTCACTACTCAGTTGTTCTACGGTAAAAAGTTGTGAGATCCATGTAATACCAAGTCCAGTCCAGGAAATCATTTTACATAAATATGTTGACTTAGCCATCGCATGAAAACACGTGTAAATTAAATTATTTAGTGCGAAATGAAACGAAATTTTGCATGCCTGTGTAGACATGCAAAATTTCAGCTCAATGGGAAAACGGGAAGTAAGTAAATTGCAAGTTGCAAGATTTTACAACTCCAGATGTCAAAGAAAATAAAAGCTTGTAGATAGCTTTACAAAGAAAAGAAGGATTTATGAAGNAAAAGTTATATAGTTTAGTGTTTTCTAGTAAAATGAAGCCATCAGATTTTTTTATTTTCTATGTACTGTGTGTAGGACAAATGTACGCAGGAGGTTAATATAAAGAAAAATGTTGCCAAACACATTCTGCGTGTTTCCTCAATCGTGGCGTATATTTGTCGCGAACTTCCTTCGAACTGCCGTTACATACTTATAAGTTTTGAAAACAAGTAATATACATTCAGAGGTTGTGTGCGCCAGTGCTTCTCAAACTGAA